AGGTCAAAAAGGCCGTTTCTATTCAAAAATGAGCCAAGTACTCCAACTGCTTCAATCAAAGTTAGCCAAATTCATTAAACTAACTCTGTGCTAACAAACATAATCAAAACAACCATCATAGCCCCACCCAAAATGTTTCATTTGTGTCTTAGTTACTTTGTTATCGTTTTTACGTTCCACAATTAGATTTTCTAGCCAGAGTTGGCACTTACTGAAGGATATGATGTTCAATGACAGAACTGGGTTGTAAAGAGTAAGAGGCTGACTTGCCTACTTTTTTTTTTATCTTAGTGATTCTTTTCGGCTATATCACAACAGTATCTTGTCATCTCCAGCACAGTATATTTGTAATAAAATAGCCATGAAATAAAGATGTCAGGGGACGTCTATCTATTCCCTAAAAAAAAAAAAAAAAGAAAAGGTCAGAAATGGCACGGCATAAAATTAACTGGTACACTATTCAAGGCCTTTAATAGATGCCTTGAACAAGGAAACACTGAAGACAGTCCAGAATGGTACGTCTTTTGCCAGGAAGGACCCCTCACTCTTCAAGCCTAGTAGTCCCCATTACGTCCATGCATCGAAGCATGGCACAGACGAAAGCACAAGTAAGATGACAATTTTTTATGACAATTCTATCGCAAAATAATGCTACACCGTACATTCGAATCGCTTTACACTAATTTTACAAGCTATTTCATGTTCAAATGAAATGTTTCAATCTATATGAACCAAATACAAACTTTACAATACTGACAATATTTGGCTACGTATATTTAAGCCTCAATATGTGTTTGTGGTATTTAAGGGAGAGGAACATACTCGCAGAAAGTTGTTCGAGCAGGCCCAACCATACTGTCAGCCAGCAGAAAAAAAGTCCGTATTTCTCAGTTTCACTTAAAGTGCATTTGGCTCTTTTAGAAAAAAAAAAAAACACGCCTCATATATAACTCAAGAAAAAAAAAACTTCCGCGCTCTGTCCCCAGCTCGTCACAATGTGCCGACGCATGCTTATCCACGCGTACTTTTTCCGCGAATGGGGAGGGGAGATGTTTGCGCGAGCGCTTTTCCTTCGGTGGGCAGAATCGCGCACCTTCGACTTTGGCCGAAACGATTGCATTTAGTTGCCGAGCGCACAAAGATAACTTCGCTTGCTGGACGGGCGCCGTTTGCGAAAAGAGTGCGCTTTTCAAGCACAGTGAAGTAATGATGACGTGTGGCGCTTTATGGCGCAAGGGCCAATTGATGGCCAAAGAGCGCCATTTCAATGAGTAGAGATGTGGACAATGATATGTTGCGTGGCTGTATAGGGGCCTTAAAATTCCTCGCGATAATGCTGGTAAAAACATAAGTATTAAAATCATGACAGTGCCGTGATATGCATAGTAAAAAAGGGTGAGAAAGGTTTTGCTAATAAAAACGTGTAAAAATATTTGGCACTAGCACAAGTGCCTCATCAGCGCCCTTGTGTCCAAGAGCTGCCGAGGCAAGTGCTTTTAAATGTAGTCACTGCAGCAGCAACCTCTCTTAAGAGGTCGCGCTACGCATTGCCTGGGTATATGACATGATAAAAGCGAACATCTTTTAAAAAAGCTAGCACCGATTTATGAGTGAACAGTGGTTCCCTACCGACGAACATTGCAGGGTGTAAAGGTATATGCTGTCGGTAGGGTAATGAAAAGTGGCTTTCTTAGAGTGTCTAGTTGTTTGCACTGGATTAAAATGTGAAGTAACAACACACGCACAGTGAAGTAACAGCTGGGGCACTAGTTAATTCGCACTGATATATGTACCTACAATCATGCTGCATGCACGTTTTTGTTTAAAAGAGAGCGTTAAGTGTTGAGTGGTAAACGTAGTTCATTTGTTGTCGACCTCTGTGTGTTGTTTTCGTGCGTCATTTGTGCATGAGCAGCGCACTACAGGTTTCGATCTGCTTGTCGTTATCAGCGTCACATTCCAAGTTGTTGCTTATCGCATTCATTGCTTTGCCCTTGCGGCGAGACTGGAACTTTTTTAATTTCGGACAACCCTGTTGTCACCACCGAGGGGATGTCGGATAAGGCGCTGATGAAAACTCTCTGAGACCACGGTGATGACAGATCTTCTGAGATCGACTCTGCACACTGGCTGGTACCTTTCGCATTTAGTCGATTACTTCTGCAACACACCGGGGCATTGAATGCAATGCAATGAACTGCGATAACAAAAAATTTTAATGCTATAAGAAGTAAGCTCACAATCAACTCTTTTGGATCCGATATCGCGGAACTACAAAACGCTGGTATGAGCGAATACGGCCGCTTCCAGGGAGAGGTGCTCTTTTCACACAGTCCCTTTGCGTTGAAACCGCACTGATACTCGCCAAGATAGCAAGTGCGTCAGCGATCACGACCGCCCTTAAAATTCAATTTCATTATTGTTGCTACCCAAGCGACACCCCCCCCCCCCTCCCCACGTTGTTTCATGCTCGTTCAAGACGGGTGGTTTACTTTCTGTTTGAGCAATCGATGGCAGTTATTACACGAGGGATATGTTATCTTATGCACTTTCCAGGCGATATGAATTGGCCGACTCATTTGAACTCCGATACAGCAACACTTGCACGCTTTTACCCGGTCGTGAAAGGAAAGTTACAATATACGGGGCATGTTGTCAATTCGGACTTGTTACGAAACATGCCTGTGATGGCACAAATCTGCCGAGAGCTTCCATATAAGTACTATGGCATTAATAACATAGTTTTTTTGCTGTAAAATAAGGGTTTTGGATTAGCTGTGCCTTCAGTCCCCCTTTTGTTTAATTTGCACGTTTATTTTCCAAATTTCCGTATCTAACCTGCTTATAACAAAATCCTGCTTATAACAAGTTTCTTCGGGAATTTATCAATTTCGTTATACCGTATTTACTCGCGTAATCCTTGCACTCGCATAATTCTCGCACCCCCCACACGCCCAACAAAAATACTTTTTTTTTTCCTCGAGTAATTATCGCACCCCCGAAAATTGCCACAATAATGTCGTCTGGTCCTTCCAGCTGTTGATGACGATTGCGCCCGCTATCTGGTGCCATCTCTTAGGCAACAAGCGTACTATTATTGCACGGAAATTCAATCCAATCCAAGCCAAGCCAAAGCGGCAAGTGCGTGTTGCGGCATGTTTTGTGTGTTGTGTCGGTAATCTTGTCGCGTTGTGGGGCGATACTGAAGCTACACGGCTGCTTCCAAGTTGAAAATGATTGATCATGTACTAAACAACGGCAACAGGGCCGCCGGTAGGCCCTTCCGAGTCGACGAGTTTTATGTTCGCTGAAAACCACCAAACTGAAAGCCACTAAGCTGAAAGCCACCAAGATGCATTGGGCCTGCCGTGTGCTTAAGATTGAGATTGATGATAAACTTTATTTCTTCAGAAGGAAACTGCGGACGATTCTGTTAAATAGCCATCCGCACAATACTAACATCCTACTCTTACCTTTTGAGGGCTACTGTTGAGTAACGAACGCTACCGCAACGCCCGCAACGCCCACAACCTTTGCGTATGGTATTCTAATTCTCGACTATTTGCTTGCACTTTTTGTGTCTCAAGTAAATCTTGCCTTGTGTTGAACTTGTGCTTTTATTTTTGAGGTAAGTTTTAAATAGTACTTCTCAAAGCTTGCTGTTAGTTGCCGGTGTGAGAATTCTGTGATTTGCGGCCGCTTTTTTTTTTTTTTTTTTTTTCACTCTGTACATTTTCGTGGAAAGTTTTCCCCGCGTAATTCTCGCACCCCCCAACTTTGCATCGGGTTTCCGCCAAAGAAAGTGCGAGGATTATGCGAGTAAATACGGTATCAAAGTTTAGCTCTATTGCAACACCAGAGTCTATACGCATATTGAATGCACTCCCACAATAAATGTACCCCCAACTTCAGTCAAAACTTTCTCCCTCCCCTCCTCCGCATAATAAACGCACCCCCCGCATTAATTTGCAGCAGTCCCTTGCATGTTGATCTCTCCCATTTTTTTTTTAATAATGACAACCCATCCCCCCCGTCAGTAACGCTCCCTCTCTCCTTTCGATTGCTACCGCACGCAGTTCTTTTGTTATTCTTTTGACCTGTGCATGGCATGTCCCATCTTTTTTATTTATTCATGCACCTCAGCGGCTTTATTGAACGGTGCGAGTTGAAAACATCGCAGCTCACAAGCACACAGCATGCGAAGGTCACGAAGCTGCCCATACCAACCAACGTTTGCTTCCTCCAAATAAGAAATTTTAATGCCTAACTACATGTACATGATTTTTGAGTAAGGCGACATGATTTGCTGGAGCGAAGGGCCATCCATCGCTGTCGCATCGCAGGTATGTCACAGGTTAGTGGAAAACCAGAAAAAATCACTTAGTCATTCACAAAAGGAGCATGACGATTTTGGTAACATGGCAGCATCATTGATTCTCGCTTAAGTTGCGATTTGCTCTTCAGGCATGCTATCTGCGCATACTTCAAAGAATGCAAGACAGAGGCTATCTTTTTTGGAGTAACATCTCACGTGGAGAGCGAAGCAGCAGCCGTATGTTGTCATTAATCTTGCTATCGACAGTTTGTTTTGATGCTTTAGTGGTGGCTTGCTGCAATGTCAAAATCATCATTGTGCGAGTTTGTCACAGAGTTTGCAAAGAGCGTCTTAGCGTCAACAATATGACGCACTTTGTGCACGCTTCCAAGCGCCACTCTAATTACAAAGTGTGGTTGCGGTTAAGCAAAAGATTGCAAAAAAAAGAAAGCCACAAAATGCATTTATGAAGTGCATGGGGACAGCTTGCAGAGGATAATGCTATCAACCACATCAGATGCATTGTTTGCTCATCTCAAAAAAAAATTGCCTCACATAAAAAGCGCACTCCCCAAATTTTTTTCCATTTTTTGGAGAAAAAAAAAAGTATGTTCATTACATCAGAATATACAGTAGTTTGCCTCTCCAGACCTACATTTGCTGATTCCAAACAAGGAGAACCAACCTTGAGCACAGGTGCGTGAGTCATTAAGAAGACGCACGCCAGTTGGACAGGCACAGCTATAGAAGGGCGCCTCGGACGACACCAGGCAGAGATGAGAGCAGCCACCGTTGTTGTAGCTACACTGGGAGCCCTCACCTGCATATTTCTCCGATGAGTGCAAGTGTAGCAAGCAGACAACCCAAAGTACCAACCCTTGGGTTGTCGCAGAGCACTGTACGCCTGGATGTCCATGGGATCCAGCTCTCCTACCAGCACTGTGCGCTTGTGCGCCCCGGTCTGCTTCGAGCACGACAGCACTGCCCGTAGCTGCCAATCGGTCCAGTAGAGGGTGTCCCCCAAAACCTGCATGCATGGTGGCATGCACTCTGAAGATGAAAGTTCAGCCTTCTATCTACCTGCATTTTATGGCACTACTGTACACTCAACACCTGGCTATATTTCCCTGCACGTTATGCAGGAATTTTCTGTTACCACTGCTATGAGGTGCTATTAAGGGGGGACACGGGTTGTGGAGACCAAAAAATTGCGAAAAAACTGTTTTTTTTTTTTAATTGCGTTTTTGAAATCTACAGCTACTAGTGCACTTATACCATGAATTTCATGCCTATATTATTTCATTATTTTAGCCGCTAAGACCCTTTATATGGCGCTTTCTAGCTAAATCTGAGCTGAAATCAGCGTTGAAATCGTACACTTTTCGTGACGCGCCCCTGCCTTTTCATGTGTGCCAGCGCGGTCCCCTTGGTCTCATTTCAGAAACCCGTCTTTCGCTTTCATATTCCTGCCACAATGGGTCCAATTCAACCATTGGCAGCTTGTAAAATGAGCAGCAAAAAGAAGTATCAGAGCGCCTTCCTATTCACTACTTCGCGCACGTGACTTGAGCTTGCCTCTCTTTTGGTAGAGGCTCCTGGCTTCGTCTGCTCCGGGTATTGGACGCGCGCCATTTTGCCTCAGTGTCAGCGGAGAAGTTTCATGATGTCAAATCCCGAGCCCGAATTGCGCACGCGGCACAACTTTGGTGCGAAAAAGGTGCGAAGGACGCTAGCAGCGAATTTCAAGAAGCGCTCCGTGATACAGCAAAACTCCCGAGACACTACACTCTCCGCGTCCTATGGCGAAATCGTCGACGCTACCACGGAAGGCCTAGCTACCGCATCAGTTGTCACGGAGCCTGTGCAAAGTCTGTCGGCCGCGGAGCCTTCGAACAGCGGTCGCGTGCGTCTAGATACTATCTATCGGCAGCAATCTGACTTGAAAGAAGACCGAGCTAAAGCCGAAGATGAGTTATCGGAGTTGATGTTCGCTGCAGCGACGGTGCCGACGAAGCAGCTCGGCCGCCTGATGGAACCACGTTCACGATTATAGATTTGGACACAGTGAACAGCACTTTGTTGGCATTTGCGAAGTGCAAGGCACGCAACGCAGAACTGCAGATTGTCCGCCACGACCGGGAATTCGGACTCGCCGTGAAGTTGCGTTTTGTGTGTTCGACCTGTGGGGAGACTGCGTCGTTGTAGAACTCGCCGCGCGTACGTAGCGATGAACGCACGAAACCTTTTGCTGTGAACGTTTTGGCCGCGCATGCCATGCAGGCAACAGGGAACAGACAGACCGCGCTGAATGATGTGCTCTTGTTGATAGGCATCAGCCGTTGGGGTCGTCACTTGAAAATGTGGCAACACTACGCGAGGACGAAGTCGGCACCCGCGGCCAATCATGCTGCACGCAATTTGATGAGTGACTGCGCGCGGTCGGTTCGCGAACTTTACGCCAAACTTAATATAGGCCACATAAGAAACATCGCAGTGTCGTTTGATGGGTCATGGATAACTCGCCGTCATTCGTCGCATATCGGTGTCGGCCCCGTCATTGAATTGTTCAGTGGGCTGGTGCATGACTTCGTTGTTTTGAGCAACTTTTGTGCTGGATGGGAGTTGGGCCCAAAGAAAGGTGACCCTTCGTATGCAGCGTGGAAGGAACATCACTAGTGTCAGAAAAACAGTGACAAGAAGGCTGAGGAAATGGAGGTTGAGGCTACCCTCATCCTCTTCAGGAGGTTACTTGAGCAGCACAACCTGCGCTACACCACGGTGCTTTGTGACGGAAACAGCCGCAGTTACCTTGCGCTAATACAAGATAAGGTTTATGGGTATATCCCAGTGGAAAAAGAGGACTGCATTAATCATGTCCAAAAGCATATGGGCACTGCTTTGCGCAACTTGATTGCAAAACACAAAGGCCCTGGCGTGAGAGTCTTGGGGGAAAGGGCCACTTGACAGGAGACCTGATCTCCAAGCTCACCAATTATTATGGATGGGCTCTGAAGACACACAGTGGTGATGTTGATGCTATGCACACAGCAGTGATAACCACTTATCATCACATCACGTCCAATGATGATGTGGCAAACCCCACTCTGTGCCCACCTGGTCCAAATTCCTGGTGCAAACAAAATGCGGCAAAGGCCAAGGGGGAGCCCATTCCCAAACATCGTCGAAAGCTGCCTCCACATGACTGCCATGCCTAACTTCCCATTTATGAGCGCTTGTCAGACAGAAAGCTGTTGCAACAATGCCAGTGAGGGAAAACCCAAGATAACAACGAATGCCTGCATTCAATGATCTGGGCGCTGGCACCAAAGGAGCGACATGCTTCGCTATTCACGATGGAGACAGCTGTGGCAGAAGCAGTGCTCAAGTTCAATGCAGGCTATAAAAAGGCATCAGAGGACATTATGAAAGAGCTGAGCCTAAACCCCAGCAGCTGGCAAAGCCGCAGCCGCATGGCTGAAAAGGATCGACGATGCACGGCAGCATCAGTCAAGAAGCGACAAGCAATGAAGAACATGCACCAGCCCCTGGAAAAGTGCCACACAGGGACTCATAGTGAAAAGGACTACATGCCCAGTGCATACTGAGCATTTTCAAGTGCAGTTATGTAAATGAATGCGTTTATTTCTTTTTCTTAGTTTTCTGAAAACATGCCTTTTGGTGACTTTACTAGTTTGTCGGGTTGATATCTTGCAATCTAGAACAGCTAGAGCAATAATTTTTTTATTAATGTAAAGTCCAATCTGTGTATTACAAAGTGCTGAGAGCAGAATTTCCATTTGCTGCCCATATAAATTTAGAAGGTATTAAATTTCTTTGTATGTGATAGCCATGACATGACTCCTGAACTTTCATCATCTGCAGAATGACTAGTTTTTATTTAATTTAATATCTGCTTACAGCATTGCACTTATTGCTAATTGCACTGTCTAGCTATGCAATAATATTTACTTTTTGATAAGCACTTTCTTTATTGTCTCTGAAAACAATAGAGTGGCAGCATTGTGTATCTTCTAAATTATTTGACATACAATGAAAATTTTTACATATTTGAAATCAGCAGGAGAAACTACATAAGCAAGTATATTTTCATCATGTTTGGTCCACAAATACTGAAAATATCTCTGCACACCATGTTCCCCCTTAAGGACATTGAAACACTTTTATGGAATGGTAGCTCTGCAAAATAAAAGTAGCACTCATTACACGCAATGAATTAGGAAAATCATTAATTTTTTATTAAATAATCATCTGTAAATTCAGTCACTAAGAGACTATCCATCTTATTCGGAGTCCGAATGAGTCAACAGCTCCTAAATTTCTTAGTTTTTCAAATAGCGGGAGCACATGGCATGCCGACTCGGCGGGGCTGGGCTGCTCAGACCCTGGAACGAGACGCAAGTCGACCCTGATTATACTATGCGCTACCTCTGAAGTACAAAAGTTTTCTACAAGTTAGATATGTTTATGCAGACCCTCCGCAGGCACATTAGTAATTCTCAAAAGTTTTCTCCGCAGTAGCTCGGAGTGATTTAAAAAGGCAAAACAAGTATACTCAGGATTGGCAAGACTTGTGGGTATGTCGTCCTCCGAGTTCTCTCGGCATTGGCTGTGAAAGGGTTTGAGGGACCCTCAAACACTTCTGAACGTCTCACTGCTTTACATTTTTTACTAGAAGCAGGTTGTGTAAGAGGTTAGTGCAGCAAGTTCAGCAATAAGGACATGCAGTCCAAAGTCACTCAGCCTATAACGTTGAAAACAAAATAATAAGAACACCTACCCTCCACTCAAACTTTATGGGGTCACTTCACCCCCATTTCATTCATCACTGAGACGGCAAGGCACAGCGACTATAATGAGCTGAATTGGTACGGGACACTACGATCTACCTAGTTGTGCACGAGCGACAGGCGGCTACGCAGAGCCTTAGGCCTAATGAGTCGCTTGACAACTATTGGCATCCGCCCAGCCTAGATGCAGAAGAGGCAAGGGGACATCACCTCCGTAAGGTGGCCCTACTCGCTCGCTACACACAGCACCTTACTGAGCGATTGGATGCCCACCGTCCAGGGCAACGCCACGCTCCCTAAGCCAAAAGATAGAAGAATCTATGTACAGAAACTCGCACCACCTACAAGGCTTCCGTACTGACTCACTTCGGGCTTGGCCTACAATTTACGTGCGTCTTCCTCACCCAAGAATACGGACCACATGGCTCTCATACCAACAACTTAATAGTGTTCTCAAAAAACAGCAAAAAAAAAAAAAACTTGCGAGATGAAAAAAAAAAAAACTCAACTAGCCAACAAGTTCCAACACACTGCCGCAACTGATCTTCAATATCTCAACAAAGCACATCCTGAAAGTCCTCCCTAGGTCTACTCTACTCCGGCTTAAAACAAAAGTATTGTTCTGGACTGCGAAAAGTGTCGTGCGAAAGAGCTCCAAGTTGGACAGCCAGTGTGGGCGGCTCTCAGAACAGACAGACACAGCAGACGCAGTTGGACCAAACCAAACAAGCCATTAGTTCAATTTTAAGTAGACGAGCAGCAATGGCTTAGTGGTTAGAACATCAGCCTCTCATGCAAGAGGTCTGTGGTTCAAATCTTGGTGCCGCGCAGTTCCCAACCAGATTAAAAAAAAAAAAATCTGCATGGTGATGGAACTGCATTGCAGGGCCTAGGGTGCGGCCTCATTGGTGACCACCGCCGGTAAAGCACTCCTTCACCAGAAAAGGATTGGCCACCCTGGTGCAGTATCTGGCCACTACCTCCCACATGCATACATCAATTAACTCACGTCCCTCAATCCCCAGTGGCTGCGAAGCAACTGACCACGGCGGCGGTCAGATCTGCAACGCGACAGAAAGTGCTAAGAATCTCTGGGTGCTGACAGGCTGCCACTGGAACCTGAACTTGGCAACGCTTACCTCTAGAACCTCATCTAGTGAGGCAAGCCTAGCTGTACTATTCGAGGAGCTAGAGGGTGCTAAATGGGATATAATAAGGC